TGTACCTTTGATATTTTTACTGACTAATATCTTCTTGAAGCTACGCTTTGAATATGTATTAGCAATTGTTCATATTAACCAATGTGATTACGACTCAATTCTCTTACGCTGCTGTCTCCTCATCACCATTTCCCTCTCCAAGTTAACAAACTAAAAGCTCAAGGCACTACTTTTAATGGAGGATCAATGTAGATTTTGGCACATTTGCAGTAAAACTAAGAACTAAGAGGAACAAATAAACCTTAAATATGTCACATGTAATGACTAAAATGCCTTTTAATTGACTGTCTGGTGTTTTATCTGTTACAAAGCCAAAGTGAACATGTAGCCCTCAAGCAGGAGGGCTACAGAAGATAAGAATAACAGAAATCTAACACACACTTAATTTTAGCTTATTTTCAGAGCCAGTAAGGAAAAAAAAACCCCACCCATCACATATTTTCAGAAACTAATAACAAACCTACACACTGTACAGGGAATGTCTGTGGAGACTGCCACTGAACGCATTAGATGTTATTTATTAAGGCTGACTCTAAAGCAGACGCAGTTACTCAGCCATGCTGAGCTGTGGTGATCATTTACTTAATGTTGACTTCTTAGACTAGCGCATTAACTTACGATGAGGTAGTGCACTAACTGTTCCTCAAAAAAAAAAGCAAAATACCTAATCACTGAAAATGTCACGAACTTCCACTGCCTTGGGACCTACTTGCAAATAGGCCCCCTTTCTTGCTTCATGCTTTCCTAGTATCTTCCTCCCAGTGCTCTCTTCGTATGTTATTTCATATGCTCAAGAACTATGCACAACTGCAATAAGATGCGCAGGGTTTTTTGGGGGGTTAAATATTTCAGACCAGTCCTACCTCCCAGCAGCACTTTCGGCATTTTTGGCAAACTGATCATCTTTAAAAATACTGTCTAGAACATGTTGCTGAGCAATCTCTAATACTTACACTAAGCAAGTCATTCAATAGACAAGTTCCATCGAGGCAGCTTACCTGCACGGAAGAATTTCTAGGCTTGTCCTCATGCTTTGTAACTGAATGTCTTTTATGGCTAAGGTGATTGTCCTACGTTTTCGATACTGTTTTCGCACATCAGTGTGTAAGCAAGAGTACAGATAAGAAAGATTAAAATAAATATTTGACAAAATACAGGCTTATGGATGAAACAAGTAATGGATTATTTTGCATGTGGGTTGCAGCTGTTCTTTGTCCACAAGGGTACCTGAACAAAGAATAACTACCAGTAACAATAGGTAATAGTCGCTGCCATGGAAAGTTTTCTGACTTCATAGAGATCCAACTGATATTGCTGGTTAAAGTCCCCTTTTATTTGCCCTGCTGTCACCTAAGAAATTTAATTTTAAAAGGTAAACAGTAGGTCATTATCTTTCCTTCAACCAAAGTTTCTGTGAAGGTAATGGTGGAAGGCGACTACTGAACACAAAAAGAGGAAGCTAGAACTTTTTTTCTTAAGCTGTGGTTTTATATTTTTTGACCGTCCTAATATAATTTATGAATTGACTGAACATGATGATACGGAAGCATCTTGCAGGACTCAAGTACTAACATCTGTGTAAAAATCAAACATGCTTGCTGCTGGATCACTCGGTTCTGTAAAGAACCCAATGAAGCTTTAAGTCAAGTGTTCACACTTGCTTGTTGTACACTGAAAAAGATGATCAAGTTTGGAACCTAAAGATAAATTAACACACCTGAAATTACCAAGTTTGGTATAATCACCTTTCTCTCCTGCCTTATTTACAGTAAATAAGCTCTACATCTTTTTAACAACAAGTTATAAAAAGCTGTGAAAAAAACCTGTCAAAAATGCATGTTTTAATATTTTTAAATAAATAAATGTAATTGGTTACAGATTTTACTTCAAAATACAGATTTAAGTAAAGAAAACATTGTGAGCAAAAAAAAGTATAAGCTAATTAAAACTTGCATCTTTTAAACTCTCACATTTCAGAAGTGCTTTAAAACAAGACCTTAAAAATTTTCAAGCTTACCTCAACAAGTCTAATTATAACACAGAGAAGTGTTTTGCAATGTATTGTCAACACCAGATACTCTACACGGCAGTCCTGGAGACTGGAAGCAAAGAGAACCGACTGAGAAAACAACGATCGTGTGCTGTATTTATTGTTATGGTAAGGTTTAAGACTGCCATAAATCAAAATAGGAAGTGGAACAAATGCCAAAACCTGTAGTAGCAGTTACTTTGGTTCTTAACAATCCACACAAAAAGGATTTTCTATTTAAGTATAAATAACAGAAAAAAAAATCATATTGATATGAAGCTATTTAATCGATTAAAAAACGCAATGGAAAGTGAAACTCCTGAAGCAGTAGGAAGGCTTTATTTTGGTATACATCAACAAAAGTCTCATCAGCTAGAAATTTCCCTGTGTTGTTTGCACAGACCCACACTTTAAGGATGCACCTGCTGGACTTTCTAAGTAATTCCAGTAGCTCATTCTCCTAATGAACTATCTCGGAGCAATCCATGCGTGGGCATAAAGTCTGACAGTAAGGACCTGACCACCCTTCCATTTCTTCATGGTGTTACAACTCCTTCGCCTTCCCAACAGCAAACTATAACACCCTGCTGCTGCTGAAGCCAGGATTCTCCCGACGACAAGCTTTCAGCCTAGCTGTGTTTAAATACTGCAGCAGCAGCAGCGCTCTGCCAAATCATCAGATGGGAGGTGTAGCACAATCTTTTTTTTCCTCATTGGGATTATCTGCTCAGAGTTGTTTCCCATACAAGCTAGGTAGGAGCTGTAGCTTACCCAGGTCCAGACAAATTTCTTTCTTCTAGTTTCTAATTTCTTTTATCAGTTCTTGGGCACTGCATCTTTGATATTTTTTCAAGATATTTTCTGGGTTTTGGCTATCTTGGATGACATATGTCAGTCATATCATATATCACTTATATGTGATAGAACCATCATGCCATCTTGTCACCAAGTAAGAATACTTTTTAATAGAAATATTTTTTAGTTTATTTTCATCCAGTAGCACTCCAATGCTTTAAAAGTCAGATTGCTCACTTAAGAAGTTACTCTGAAAAAAAGACCACCTGCTGCGTCTTAACATGTATCATCTCTCCTCATAGGTTTTAAGAGGAGGAATCAGATCCGCAAACAATTTTACATATCAATGACTCCCCCACATGAAACTCTGCACACCTACGAGTGTAAAAATCCAAAGGGAGGATGCCAAATGTGTTGGTCCACCCCCTGAAATCCTCCGTGGGACACAGGCCACCAGACCTGCTGTGTGGCTTTTGATTCTGTGTAAAAGGTACTTCAATTTCCTCACATTAAAAAAAGTATCAGAATGTGGTCAAGCAAGTCCGTCAGCTCTCTTTCAACCCTCCAAATTTTGCATACAATTTACAGGAAAAGGAGTTCCTTCCGCTCTCCTCAAAGGAACTGCTCAACCCATGTTTACTGAACTAATCGTTAATGATAATACAATGGAAGTACTGACCAGAACTAAATGAAACACAGGCTGAACCTCCGTTCAGCAATGGCAAAGCAGGATCCATGGCAAAGCGCTCCTCCTTAAAAGCATCTAGCCCAACTAAATTCGTAACATCTTTCTGATTAGCGTTGCCTTCAGCTATAGCAGAGGCAAGGAACAAGTCTTCAAGCACTTAAATGATCACAAGCGATCCCCAGCTGTATTTTGTAAGACATCATGAACAAGCTGAAGGCGTTAACTAGCGAGACAGTACACCTATTTTTGGCTCAGGTACAAGCTGGGCTGCCTGTGCCAATTCCCCAGCTAGCACTGGGGTCAGCCCTGAGGCGAGAGTGGTGTGTCCCGGCTGGCAGGCCTGCGCAGGGCATCACTGGTGGACTAAGGTGTCGGGCGAGGGCCTCTGCGCCACTGCCTAGGGAGGCAGGCCTGTCACCGCGGCCTGCGCCTCCGACACCGCGCTAGCAGCCAAAGCCTCTGGGCTCTTGGGGCAGCAGGCGGCTCTACCCAAGCTAGGCCGCCCGCTCGCACACGGCGCAAGCCAGCCCAAGGCAGCGCTTGGCGGCCTGCTCTCCGATCGCCCTTTGCCCGGAGCCAAGCGTGCCTGGAAGGGAAACGTGCTCGCAGAGGGAAGGCAGCGACA